CCCTAGCATATGGTCTGAAACACACTTCCTATTTTATCCATAACAGATATCAAGCATTGAGATCTCTTACCTTATCACTGAAGTAACAACCATACAATCAGGAAATCAGTCCACACACGACAGCCACTACACACACAACAGCCACACACGACAGCCACTGCACACACAGTTCGGCCCTCTATTCTTCCTCTACTAGGAGAGGGCGACCTCAGAAATCACAGCAACCGACCACATACAACCTGACTGGAGGCATAGAAACCTCCAAGGGAAGAGGGCGGTCACTCCTTTTCAGCCCTTTCCCTTATCTCCAATCGAATACAGAAAAAAGAGGAAAAACCCTAGATAGGGTGCGCAGAGAATAGAAACCTAGGCAAGCAAAAATCTAGGCAGATTCAAGTTGCTCTGATACCATGATAGAATTCGGTCTGCCTTAGAGTTCTGCCTGTCTGAGATCAGTTATGTAGAAGAAGAGAGGTGGAAGACAGAGAGAGAGAGAAAGAGAGAAGAGAGAATTCTGGTTCGAACTGGAAGAATCAACATAACATCTCCCAGTCGGTCAGGAAGTATTTATATTATTAAAAATAACTGAAAAGACCTATGTGCCCTTACTTAAGTTAGGAGCACTTGTTCCAACACAACATTACAGATCAGCAACATTAATCTAGATATAAAGATAGAAATACCCCTACGCTAACATCCAAGATTTCCAGCAAATGATCTTCACCCAATTTCAAACTAAAATCCAAATCTTTCAATCGGACAACGCCATAGAATATTTTCATAGTGATCTCACAAAATTTTTTGCTTCACGTGGCTCACTTCACCGTAGCTCTTGTTCCCAAACACCACAACAAAACGGTATTGCTGAAAGAAAGAACCGACACCTTCTTGAAGTAGCCCAGGGGTTGCTATTCCATATGAATGTCCCGAAACGTTTTTGGCTTGAGTCTGTCCTTTGTGCTACCTACCTCATCAACCGCATGCCCTCTCGGTGGTTAGAGTACAAAGCCCCACATCAGCTTCTTTTCCCTAAGGCTCATCTTCTTCCTATTCCTCGTGTGTTTAGGTGTCGTTGTTTTGTTCAAAATCTGTCACCCACTCGTGGAAAATTAGATCATCGTGTCATTCCTTGCATTTTCTTAGGGTACTCCACTCAGAAGGGATACCGATGCTTTGATCCTATCTCTCGGAAATTTTATGTCTCTATGAATGTCTTATTTTTTTAGAGTGAGCCTTTCTTCCCTGTTTCTCCTCAAGGGGAGTGTAGGAATGAGGAGAAACTAGTTCAGTTCCCTCCTCTTCCTGATCCTCCTCCCTTTCGCCACTACAAAGGCCAACCATGTTCAAGAGTTGTGGGGCACCTAGAAGTTGTACCACCAATGCCATCAGACTCTCTGGGAGTAGATCATACCCATTCAAGTACATTGGTCCCTGTTTATGTTCCTGACCCTATTGCCATTGACACTTCTGTTGCTAATGACCTTGACCTTCCTATTGCTCACCGGAAAGGTATTAGATCTTGCACCACTAAACACCCAATTTCCCACTTTGTTTCCTATGAAAACATTTCACCCTCCTTTCGAGCCTTTCTTTCTTCCATTGACAATGTCTCTATCCCTAAGAATGTGGTAGAAGCTCTTTCGATACCTAAATGGACAGATGCTATGAAGGAAGAAATTAATGCATTACATAAAAATGGCACATGGGGACTTGTAGATCTTCTTGAAAGGAAAGATCCAGTTGGATGTAAATGGGTTTTCACAGTTAAACACAGGGCTGATGGCACCGTGGAACGGTATAAAGCTCGTTTAGTGGCAAAGGGATACAAGTGTATGGAGTAGATTATGCAGAAACTTTTGCACCTGTTGCTAAGATGAACTCCATTAGAGTCCTTTTCTCCCTTGCTGCTAACCTTGACTGGGATCTACATCAGCTTGACATCAAGAATGCCTTCCTGAATGGTGACCTTGAAGAGGAAGTATACATGGTTCAACCCCCTGGTTTTCGAGCTCAAGGTAATGAACAAAAAGTGTGTAGGCTAAAGAAATCATTTTATGGGCTGAAACAATCACCAAGAAACTGGTTCAGTAGGTTCCATGTAGCAGTACAGCAAAGAGGATACAAGCAATGTCAGTCTGATCACACATTGTTTGTGAAGAGAGGGGAAGGAAAAATTACAGCACTGATAGTATATGTTGATGATATAGTTATCACTAGAGATTGGAAGGATGAAATTCAGAAGTTGAAGAATTTTCTTGATACCCAGTTTGAAGTGAAAGATCTAGGTCTTCTAAGGTACTTCCTTGGGATTGAAGTGGCCCGCTCACAAAGGGGTATCTTCATTTTCCAAAGAAAGTATGTCCTAGATCTACTCCAAGATACAGGAAAACTAAGAGTGAAGCCAGTTGATTCCCCCATTGACCCTAACCACAAACTAGGTGGTTGTCAGGGTGAACCCATCAAGGATGTGAAAATGTTTTAGAGACTTGTAGGAAGACTGTTATATCTTTCTATGACTCGACCAGACATAGCTTATGCAGTGGGTGTTCTTAGCCAGTTCATGCATGCCCCTAAGACTACCCATCTTGAAGAGCAGAAAGAGTTCTCAGCAAAAAGAGTCCATCTCTCAACTTTCTTCTCACCAACCCTTTCCGTCTAAAGAAATTTGGTGCAGGCCAGTCCCCCCAAAAATTATGGCTTTTTKTTGGGAAGTATTCCATGGGAAAGTAAACACTTTAGACAACCTACAAAAGAGAAGACCTTTTCTCTGTATTTCTCCTAATTGGTGTATCCTCTGTAGAGCTCACGGTGAGGAT